AGGTGAGGGAGGAATGGGGTACGAGCCCCCGATGGGGAGGACTGGGCTGGCTCTGCGGGCTTCTGGGGGTGGAAGCTCTCCTGCAGCCCCCCAATGGGCGGGGGGCCATTGGGTGGCTGGCTGGATCCGTGCCAGGTGCAGGGTCTGCTGTCTGGGTGCTGGCAGGCTGGCACCTGGCACGGGCACCGTAGCCAGCCCGTGCCCCTTTAAGGGCTCCTGGGCCGGGAGGGGGGCAGACGACTTTCCCTGGTGGTGCCCAGATTGGCCACCAGGGAAAGCAGGGGAGGGCTAGCCTCCCACTAGTTCGAATTAAGGGGCTACACAGCCCTTAATTCGTACTAGTAAGTTTGAACTAGGCTTAGTCCTCGTGCAATGAGGTTTATTAAGTTCTAACTAGCGGAGCGCTAGTGTAGTGCCTATGAAAGTTAGTTCGAACTAACATCCGTTAGTTCGAATTAACTTTGTAGTGTAGACATACCCCCTGTGACTGTGTGCCTGAGCAGCTCTTCAGAGTTGCTGTGCGGCCTGGCCCACCTCTAGAGCTTGGGCGCCAGCCTGAGTATCTACACTGCAATTAAAACTGCCCCTTAGCATGGGCGTCTGGTAGCCTAGGCGGGGGAAGGATTTGCCTTCCCAAACCGCCAGGCATGGCCCCTCCCACACTCCGCCCCCAGAACGCCTGCTGTAGGGCTATAGGTGTTCTGGGGGTGGAATGTTGCTGCCCCCAGTGCCTGCCATCCCCACTGCTCCAAGGCAGGGAAGCTGGGGCTGAGTGCTACCCACCTCCCCCGGGGGCTGGGGAGACTCGGGCCGCATGGCCTCCTCCCTCCCCAGTGCTCTGGAGGCTGGGAGGCTTGGGCCGTGCTGCCTGCTTAGGGATGTGAAAGGTTAACCAGTAATCCTCTCTCTTAATGGGTGAGGCTGCCCAGTTCCGATTTACTGGTGGGGGCCGGAGCAGCACCTCTAGGGCCCACTGCCGACGGGCTGCTATGGCCATCCCACCAGGGGAAGAGGCTCCAGCCTGCCCACCACTCTTTAATTAGTTAACAGATTAAACTTAAAGTCTAACTGGTTAACCAATTGAATGAGATTTTACATCCCTAGGCCTGCTCCCTCTGAGGAGGCTGTGGCATGTGTGCTCGGCATGCTGCCCCACATTCTCCCCTCCCCATGGTGGGGCGGGGCATCAGTGGAGGGGGCAGGGCTGTAAATTGGGCTGGAAGCCTGCCTCCTCCCTGCACCAATCACCCATGTCTCTTAGCCTGAGCTCGAGTCAGATGGCACTAGCCAGCTGTGGGTTTTTAACTGCAGCATAGACATACCCTGGGAATACCTCTCCCAGACCCGAGAGGGAGTTTTGTGGAGGCCAAAAGCTTGTCTCTTTCATCAAGTGAAGCTAGTGCAGTAAAATAAATAAAGAAATAAATAATAATAATTCGACCTCACCCATTCTCTCTGAAATCCTGGGAACAATGTGGCGACAAGACTGCTATCTGTCCTCATATTGTCAATAGTAACACAGTCTGTGTCCCATGATGGCAGGTCAGTTCTGAAGGCCGGTTATTCTGTCTGACATTCTGGAGTTAAAGGCCCTGTGCCCAAAGTTCTCCAGTTTGTGTCTGTTTTATACGCCACTCCTGGAACTTCAGTTGAGCTCCCTAGGGTTTTTGTCTTTCCTGATCAGACCCAATTCCTGTCTCTCACCGCAGGGACTTCACTGCTTATCGGACACAGGAGGCACAGATTTTAGGTAGGAGTGGAGAGAAAAGCACATTAAGCAGGAGCACTATACGCTGATGATGCCAAGGGTGTGGGTTTTGAGTTTGAGTTGTATTCCATGCCTCCAGAGAGAAGTGAGCAAATACCAGTCCACGGGCTGGATCCTCTGGTGGGCTCCCACTGCTATATTTCCCTGCGCCTCCATAGCTGCAGGCAATCACAGATCCCATTGGCTGCGGTTCACCATTCCTGGCCAATAGAAGCTGCAGGAAGTGGTGTCCCAGTCCACGCTGCATCCTACCACTCCCACTAACAGTGTCATTCGATGTGTCACTCACTTGAGTGGAAGGGCGGAAATCCCAGTGATGAGAGCACACGAGGCTAAATTCTCCATCTGCAGAACTGGCGCCTGCGCACACATAGGGCACGTCTAGACTACAAGCTTTTGTCAACAGAGGCTTTGTCGACAGATACTGTCGACAAAGCTTCTGTTGACACAGAGCGCCTAGACGACATCCAGTTCTGTTGACAAAGCAAGCCGCTTTGTCGACATGAGAGTGTATACACAAAGCACAGTGTAGATGCAATAACGCCTTCCGTCGACAGAACTCTATCGACAAAAGGCGTTATTCCTCGTAGAATGAGGTTTACAGCCATCGACAAAACTACTGAGTTCTGTCAACATTATGTTGACAGAACTCAGCAGCAGTGTAGACGCAGGTATAGTTTTGTCGACAAAAGTCCACTTTTGTCAACAAAACCCTGTAGTCTAGACACATCCTGACTGTATGACACAGTTTGCTTTTCCACCATAGACATTTCTATTTTGATACAGTGAGGAATTAGGGATGTAATCATAAAGTCATTAACTGATAAGCAAAAGCTTATCGGTTAATGCTATAGACCAGTGGTCCCCAACGTGGTGCCCACGGGCGCCATGGCGCCTGCCGGGCCATTTCTGTGTGCCCACTGAGTGAGTGGGGCCAGCCCTGGGCGCGCGGCACATGGGTGGACTCGCCCCCAGGTGCGTGGTGCATGGGCTGTGCTGGCCCCGGGCACGCAACGTTTGGGCATCCCCGCCCCTGGGCACGCGGCACAGGAGTGGCACCGGCCCCAGGTGCGCGGCGTATGGGCATTCCCGCCCCTGGGCGCGCGGCACAGAAGAACTGGTTTTTAAACTGATACAGCAGCATGTAGTGGCAGAGGGCTCCTCAGGACTGAGGCTGGAGCACACTGGCTGACAGCCTCCTTCCCCCCTCCTCCCCGGGACTATAGGTTAGTTGACTAACCAATGAGATTTCTTGAGGTTGCTCAACTATTCAGTTAACCGATACTTAACATCCCCATGAGGAAGCACGTAAACCAGCGATGCTCAACTTAGGCTAGTGAGCAGGCTTCATGAGTGGCCCGTCTTCATCCCAGTGGGACACAAGATTGTCACAATCGATACGGTTTCCTAGGATAGGGTAGATTTGATATCTGCGCTTGCGTACCTAGAACGAGCGTGATGTGCTGACTGAATTGTAGCAGCACTTTGGGTGGATGCAGAAGGGGTGTATTGCTCTCTGTCAGTGTTAGGTGTAGTCAGCATGCATCTCACTTCATGACTTAACATCCCCATGAGGAAGCACGTAAACCAGCGATGCTCAACTTAGGCTAGTGAGCAGGCTTCATGAGTGGCCCGTCTTCATCCCAGTGGGACACAAGATTGTCACAATCGATACGGTTTCCTAGGATAGGGTAGATTTGATATCTGCGCTTGCGTACCTAGAACGAGCGTGATGTGCTGACTGAATTGTAGCAGCACTTTGGTTGGATGCAGAAGGGGTGTATTGCTCTCTCAGTCAGTGTTAGGTGTAGTGAGCATGCATCTCACTTCATGTACGTGCCGTTTTAGTAATACCAGTAGGAAAAAAGTTATGCAGATAGAAATCAGGAGCATCTGGCAGCCTTGTGCATGGGTAACGGTAGTCAAAATGTCTCTCTGGCCACACATAGATCCCCGATGAGCCGCATGCAACTTGAATGCTGCCAGTTGCCCAATGCTGATGTAAACCATTCTAAGGACAAATTCCTCTGTGGACTGATGCAAGAACAAATAATTGTGCAAGCAGCAGAGTAATGCTCTTGCGTGCTTCCTTGTAAGACACAGAAATGCACAGAAACTTAAATAAAAGGTAGACCCTACATTTAACTTGTTCCCTTGTTTGCTAGTTTTACATGGTAAGTGAAACAAGATGGGATGTATGAGTAACTGAAGCCAGAGCTGAATGGGTTGTAATACTTAGTGACAGCAGGTGTAAAAGTTTTTCTCTGAAATTCTGATATCTGCTTTCTGATGGACTAGTGCCTTTTCATTGTTACTGTCCTTGTCACTAAAGCTTTAAATTTATTCATGAAACAAGCTGGAGCTCAGGTGGCAACAGCTAAATCCATTTAGCAGTAGGAATAAGAGGAAAGCCATTTTAATGTTCTCTTGCAGTGCTGTAGTACTTAGCAAACCCAAAGGATATTAATTACTCAGCATGCTCTGAGATGTAAAAGCATGAATTTATCAAGACAAATGCATTCAGAACTAGGCTAAGTCAACAGTAATTAATGTGATGCAAAAAGACAGAGAAAGGAAGGATTAGTGGACCTACCACATTAGAATAGCATATAGTTTAGGGACATCATTGGGATATTAAATTATAGGAGAGAGCTAAAATGTTGAGAGATCCTTAATAAATATACATTCTGTTTGTCAGGTACGCTCTTTGAATATGGGTATGTTCAGAATTTATATTGCCTGGTCAGAGTGAATATTAAGTTGTATGTTTAGCAGGCATGACAGCAAATTTTATCTTTAATATAAAAATCTTGAATGTACCTTTGAAGCGGAGCGGAGCCAGTGAGTGAGTGTGTTTTGCACAAACGTTATCTAAGCCACTCCAGTATTTTTATGGTGTTTAGCAAATGTATAATCGTGAGTACATCCACAGATGAGTGGCAGCTACAGTGATGCATTGGTAGGCTCCACTTGACAAATGTAAGTGTAGCATGTGTATTTATACCAAATCCATTAGAGCAGACAAATGGAAAATCCAGAGATGACTGCTCTGCAATTTAACAGTCACAGAGTTCTGAGAAAGGCTGATGTCTTCTTCATTGTTCATAGTGGGTCAGATTTAAAAATCTCTAAAACTAAAGCAATTGAAGTGAACAAGTTCCAGCCATGCTGTATTCAAAGTTGTTTGCCAGTGAATAATGAGTAAAGCCAATGCCTATTCTTTTGTCTCTAGGATATGGTGATGGTTTTGACGACTTAAGTTTAGCGGATGCCTTGGATGACCATCCAACCAAGCGACGTAAGTACAGTTTATGGGAAAAAGCAAATAGTAATTGTGTGTGTGACTCCCTGTGTGGATTAGACCCAAATCAAAGATGAGGGGCGTACATGACCCAGTCATCTTTTCCTGGTCAGATCCAGTTTCCATAATTGTCAACCGCTAAAATAAATATGCGTCCTGTAACGTTTGTTTGTATCCTAGTGTTTCATTGTGTTATGATTCTGGATAGCAAGTTGCATTGATTTAGCATTGTGACAGCCTATTGGTATTGAACACATGCTTTTGTGCTCCTAATTACTTGTGTTGTCATTCATCCATTCCCATGTTTGCCTGGAATGCTTGTGCAGGGCTTCACTCATCCAGCCCATTCCAGTGAGGAATGATTCTGAGCTTCTAACTCTTACTTTTCTCCTTTCCTTGCTTGCCCTCCATAGACATGTGTACACTGCAATCAGACACCTGCAGCTGGCCTGTGCCAGATGATTCAGGTCTGTTAAATTGCAGTGCAGACGTGCAGGACCCTCATAGGATCCTAGAGCTCCAGCTGCAGCCGGAATGTCTACACTTGCATTAGATAACCCCACGAGCCTGAGTCCCCATGGGCCAGCTGCAGTGTTTTAATTAGCGTGTAGACACACTGCATGGCTCAGCCTGTCACAGGACTCTCCCTCTTGCCTATATTATTTTGCTTCCACAGTTGCTTCCAGGATCATTTCAATGGCTGAATACCCCATTTGCCGCCACAAAGTAAGCTCCTAGCTACCCCTTTCCCATAATAATCAGGGATTAGGATATCCTCTCACTTATCCACTAAGCCAGGGTCAGGCAATAATTTATAATGGGGGGCCACTCCAAGATTTTGGTAGGTGGTCAAGGGCTGCACTTCTATAGAGGCGGTGCAGGGTCTGGGACAGAGCTTTGGTGCAGAAGGGAGCTTGGGGTAGGGGGACTAAGCTGCAGGATGGGGTGTAGGGTCTGAAAAGGATTTTGGGTGAAGGAGGGGGTTGTGACCTGGGGCAGAGGCTTGCGGTGCAGGGTCCAGGAGGGGGCATGGTTGCAGGAGAGGAGTCTGATCTCAGGGAGGGGCTCCAGGTGGGGGTGCGGGATCTGGGAGGGAATTTTGACCTGGGAAAAGAGGGGAAAGGGATAAAGAGGGTTTGGGTGGTAGAGTGGGGTAGGTAATTGGAGGGGAAAGAGGAGGTGGGATGCCAGAGGCAGGTTGTGGCCTGGAGGTGCTTACCTAGGTGGCTTCAGCCAGCAGCCCTGCAGGAACCTGAGGCAGGCTATCTGTTGCAGTCCCAGGCTCGTGGGCTGTCTGCACCACGTGGTTCTGCTCTGGCCATGGGGGAGAAGGAGGGAGGCTTCATACGCTGTCCCTGCTCCCAGCAAAATTTCTCATCTCCTTTTGGCCAGAACAGTATGTAGCTATGTGTATAATAAAGACTTTCTGAATGGCTTGGTGGTTTAATATGATTCATGGCTAGGCGACATTGCAGGAGCACAGCTGTTTGACACAGCCTATCCTCAAATATTCTCTTACACAGTACAGGTCTGGGGCCAAATTTTGGTCATCTCCCTCTGTCCCCATGAATACTATGTGGCTTCATTTGTTGTATAGGTTGAACTTCTCTAGTCCAGCATCCTCAGGACCTGCCCAGTACCAAGCCAGAGAATTTGCTGAACTACGGGAGGTCAATATTCTCCAGCAGCATTACCAGCACTTCCACTGCTTACTTCTCTTAGAAAACATGTAGGGGTAAATTAGAGCTAAATAACAACACAGAACATTGAGAGCCGGGACTGGTGGCTGTAAACAAACTTTAGGGGACCACAGGAAACTTGGCTACACTCATGATAAATGAACATTCGGTTAACTAAAACCTTGCTGGACCATAGATGTTGCTGGTCCAGAAAATGCTGGACTAGACAGGTTTAACCTGTAGAAAATGTATGAATGGGTGAAAGAAGTGTTTTGAGCACACACAATATACTGTTTTCCTTTCCGATTCTATTTGTGCACAAGCTGGCGGAGTTCAGACATATTCGTACTGTGTTCAATGTCAGGCCTTCCTCTGTACCTGGCTGATTATTTCTAAGCCAGCCTAAGTCCTCACGTAGACAATGCTAGGTCAAAGGAAGCATTCTTCCATTGATCCAGTCACTGCCTCTTGTAGAGGTGGATTACCTACTCCAATAGGAAAGTCTGTCCCATTGGCATAGGTAGTGCCTACCCTGAAGCACTCCAGAAGCACAGCTGTGCTGCTGTAGCATTTCAAGTGTAGACAAGCCCTGAGAAGAGGACAAGTGTTACTCTTAAAATTGAAAGGGGAGGGGTCCATTTGCTTGTGAATGAGACACAGTGGGTGTGTCTACACAGCACCCTTACATCGAAATAAGGCGCTATTCCGAAAATCCCTTATCCCTCGTGCAGTGAGGCTTACAGGGATGTCGGAATAGTGAGCCCGTTATATTTCGATATAACAGGCTTCCTTCTAAGACGCAGAATGTACCTAGAACGAGCGTGATGTGCTGACTGAATTGTAGCAGCACTTTGGGTGGATGCAGAAGGGGTGTATTGCTCTCTGTCAGTGTTAGGTGTAGTCAGCATGCATCTCACTTCATGAACGTGCCGTTTTAGTAATACCAGTAGGAAAAAAGTTATGCAGATAGAAATCAGGAGCATCTGGCAGCCTTGTGCATGGGTAACGGTAGTCAAAATGTCTCTCTGGCCACACATAGATCCCCGATGAGCCGCATGCAACTTGAATGCTGCCAGTTGCCCAATGCTGATGTAAACCATTCTAAGGACAAATTCCTCTGTGGACTGATGCAAGAACAAATAATTGTGCAAGCAGCAGAGTAATGCTCTTGCGTGCTTCCTTGTAAGACACAGAAATGCACAGAAACTTAAATAAAAGGTAGACTCTACATTTAACTTGTTCCCTTGTTTGCTAGTTTTACATGGTAAGTGAAACAAGATGGGATGTATGAGTAACTGAAGCCAGAGCTGAATGGGATGTAATACTTAGTGACAGCAGGTGTAAAAGTTTTTCTCTGAAATTCTGATATCTGCTTTCTGATGGACTAGTGCCTTTTCATTGTTACTGTCCTTGTCACTAAAGCTTTAAATTTATTCATGAAACAAGCTGGAGCTCAGGTGGCAACAGCTAAATCCATTTAGCAGTAGGAATAAGAGGAAAGCCATTTTAATGTTCTCTTGCAGTGCTGTAGTACTTAGCAAACCCAAAGGATATTAATTACTCAGCATGCTCTGAGATGTAAAAGCATGAATTTATCAAGACAAATGCATTCAGAACTAGGCTAAGTCAACAGTAATTAATGTGATGCAAAAAGACAGAGAAAGGAAGGATTAGTGGACCTACCACATTAGAATAGCATATAGTTTAGGGACATCATTGGGATATTAAATTATAGGAGAGAGCTAAAATGTTGAGAGATCCTTAATAAATATACATTCTGTTTGTCAGGTACGCTCTTTGAATATGGGTATGTTCAGAATTTATATTGCCTGGTCAGAGTGAATATTAAGTTGTATGTTTAGCAGGCATGACAGCAAATTTTATCTTTAATATAAAAATCTGTGCTATTTGAATGTACCTTTGAAGCGGAGCGGAGCCAGTGAGTGAGTGTGTTTTGCACAAACGTTATCTAAGCCACTCCAGTATTTTTATGGTGTTTAGCAAATGTATAATCGTGAGTACATCCACAGATGAGTGGCAGCTACAGTGATGCATTGGTAGGCTCCACTTGACAAATGTAAGTGTAGCATGTGTATTTATACCAAATCCATTAGAGCAGACAAATGGAAAATCCAGAGATGACTGCTCTGCAATTTAACAGTCACAGAGTTCTGAGAAAGGCTGATGTCTTCTTCATTGTTCATAGTGGGTCAGATTTAAAAATCTCTAAAACTAAAGCAATTGAAGTGAACAAGTTCCAGCCATGCTGTATTCAAAGTTGTTTGCCAGTGAATAATGAGTAAAGCCAATGCCTATTCTTTTGTCTCTAGGATATGGTGATGGTTTTGACGACTTAAGTTTAGCGGATGCCTTGGATGACCATCCAACCAAGCGACGTAAGTACAGTTTATGGGAAAAAGCAAATAGTAATTGTGTGTGTGACTCCCTGTGTGGATTAGACCCAAATCAAAGATGAGGGGCGTACATGACCCAGTCATCTTTTCCTGGTCAGATCCAGTTTCCATAATTGTCAACCGCTAAAATAAATATGCGTCCTGTAACGTTTGTTTGTATCCTAGTGTTTCATTGTGTTATGATTCTGGATAGCAAGTTGCATTGATTTAGCATTGTGACAGCCTATTGGTATTGAACACCTGCTTTTGTGCTCCTAATTACTTGTGTTGTCATTCATCCATTCCCATGTTTGCCTGGAATGCTTGTGCAGGGCTTCACTCATCCAGCCCATTCCAGTGAGGAATGATTCTGAGCTTCTAACTCTTACTTTTCTCCTTTCCTTGCTTGCCCTCCATAGACATGTGTACACTGCAATCAGACACCTGCAGCTGGCCTGTGCCAGATGATTCAGGTCTGTTAAATTGCAGTGCAGACGTGCAGGACCCTCATAGGATCCTAGAGCTCCAGCTGCAGCCGGAATGTCTACACTTGCATTAGATAACCCCACGAGCCTGAGTCCCCATGGGCCAGCTGCAGTGTTTTAATTAGCGTGTAGACACACTGCATGGCTCAGCCTGTCACAGGACTCTCCCTCTTGCCTATATTATTTTGCTTCCACAGTTGCTTCCAGGATCATTTCAATGGCTGAATACCCCATTTGCCGCCACAAAGTAAGCTCCTAGCTACCCCTTTCCCATAATAATCAGGGATTAGGATATCCTCTCACTTATCCACTAAGCCAGGGTCAGGCAATAATTTATAATGGGGGGCCACTCCAAGATTTTGGTAGGTGGTCAAGGGCTGCACTTCTATAGAGGCGGTGCAGGGTCTGGGACAGAGCTTTGGTGCAGAAGGGAGCTTGGGGTAGGGGGACTAAGCTGCAGGATGGGGTGTAGGGTCTGAAAAGGATTTTGGGTGAAGGAGGGGGTTGTGACCTGGGGCAGAGGCTTGCGGTGCAGGGTCCAGGAGGGGGCATGGTTGCAGGAGAGGAGTCTGATCTCAGGGAGGGGCTCCAGGTGGGGGTGCGGGATCTGGGAGGGAATTTTGACCTGGGAAAAGAGGGGAAAGGGATACAGAGGGTTTGGGTGGTAGACGCGGGATCTGGGAGGGAATTTTGACCTGGGAAAAGAGGGGAAAGGGATAAAGAGGGTTTGGGTGGTAGAGTGGGGTAGGTAATTGGAGGGGAAAGAGGAGGTGGGATGCCAGAGGCAGGTTGTGGCCTGGAGGTGCTTACCTAGGTGGCTTCAGCCAGCAGCCCTGCAGGAACCTGAGGCAGGCTATCTGTTGCAGTCCCAGGCTCGTGGGCTGTCTGCACCACGTGGTTCTGCTCTGGCCATGGGGGAGAAGGAGGGAGGCTTCACACGCTGTCCCTGCTCCCAGCAAAATTTCTCATCTTTTGGCCAGAACAGTATGTAGCTATGTGTATAATAAAGACTTTCTGAATGGCTTGGTGGTTTAATATGATTCATGGCTAGGCGACATTGCAGGAGCACAGCTGTTTGACACAGCCTATCCTCAAATATTCTCTTACACAGTACAGGTCTGGGGCCAAATTTTGGTCATCTCCCTCTGTCCCCATGAATACTATGTGGCTTCATTTGTTGTATAGGTTGAACTTCTCTAGTCCAGCATCCTCAGGACCTGCCCAGTACCAAGCCAGAGAATTTGCTGAACTACGGGAGGTCAATATTCTCCAGCAGCATTACCAGCACTTCCACTGCTTACTTCTCTTAGAAAACATGTAGGGGTAAATTAGAGCTAAATAACAACACAGAACATTGAGAGCCGGGACTGGTGGCTGTAAACAAACTTTAGGGGACCACAGGAAACTTGGCTACACTCATGATAAATGAACATTCGGTTAACTAAAACCTTGCTGGACCATAGATGTTGCTGGTCCAGAAAATGCTGGACTAGACAGGTTTAACCTGTAGAAAATGTATGAATGGGTGAAAGAAGTGTTTTGAGCACACACAATATACTGTTTTCCTTTCCGATTCTATTTGTGCACAAGCTGGCGGAGTTCAGACATATTCGTACTGTGTTCAATGTCAGGCCTTCCTCTGTACCTGGCTGATTATTTCTAAGCCAGCCTAAGTCCTCACGTAGACAATGCTAGGTCAAAGGAAGCATTCTTCCATTGATCCAGTCACTGCCTCTTGTAGAGGTGGATTACCTACTCCAATAGGAAAGTCTGTCCCATTGGCATAGGTAGTGCCTACCCTGAAGCACTCCAGAAGCACAGCTGTGCTGCTGTAGCATTTCAAGTGTAGACAAGCCCTGAGAAGAGGACAAGTGTTACTCTTAAAATTGAAAGGGGAGGGGTCCATTTGCTTGTGAATGAGACACAGTGGGTGTGTCTACACAGCACCCTTACATCGAAATAAGGCGCTATTCCGAAAATCCCTTATCCCTCGTGCAGTGAGGCTTACAGGGATGTCGGAATAGTGAGCCCGTTATATTTCGATATAACAGGCTTCCTTCTAAGACGCAGAATAGCTATTTTTGGATACCGGAGGTGCCCCGAAATAACTCCGCTGTGTAGATGTAGCCAGTGTGCCCTGCAGACTTCCCATTAAAAATGTGATCCGGGTTATGGAAAGACTTGAAATCCCTTGCTTTACAGCATATGCACAGATTTTAGGCTCTAGCCGGTCTTACTTTAGCTTCTGCTCTCTTGTACTGGAATTCACGTGGGAAACTAAAAATGCGCATAAATCTGAATGGGGCAGTTTACAAATGGGATATCTTGTAATCTGCTAGGGCTAGAAATGAATACTTCATCCCACTAGAAAGATGATAGATAATGAGGTATTAGACCAGTGACCACTGTGAAGGCTCACGTACGGGTCGAGGACAGAATGTAGCAAGCCCTGGACCTCTTTTCTGTGTGATTTTTTTTTCTATCCTTGCAGCATTACAATGACCCTTTATGTTGCTACAAGGGGTGTTACTTTCACACCCATGAGCAGTATATGATACATTGACAAAACTGCTAGCGTAGTCGTCGTCTGACACTTTGTGTGTGGGGACGTGTGCTCCGTTTCTTTGAATGTTTCCCTTTCTGAGGCTGGAGCCCCCCCACACCTGCTGCACAAGAATACTGGTCCAGACTAAATGCTAAGCCCTGGAGTGCTGTGGTCCAGGTACAAGGGAAACATCCCCCAAGTTCCTGCCCTGAAGAAAGCCAGCTGATGTAAATCGTGGCTCCCCCACTGGAAATATTCTCAGACCAGGCATTCTAATATTCAGAGCCACAGGCAGAAATTAAATGGAACAGGCCCCCACATCTGTTGTTCATATTTTATTCATACTCCAGGTAATATAGCACATTACTACTAACAGATATTAGTGGCGTACAGTTCTTTTAAAAACTCCCCTACTTTGGCCTCTTGCCACATTGTTAACAGTATCAGGAGTTGCAATATTTTCTCGTTTCTAGAAAGCTCTCATTGACCAGAAATCAATGTAAGGTAAATCGAGCTCTTAAAACATGACCCTCTGTTACTTGCTGTGTTGTGGGGCACCATAGATCTTTTAGTGTAATAGATTTGGGAGACCCAAGCAGATGAGAATAAAACATATGGCGCTTCCATGTTCTCAGGAGCATTGTTTACTTTATGCACTGGACAAGTCCTGTTGTGTTAGCAGTTGGTTTGCTGAGTCTCTGAAGTGCATAGTTTGACATGGAGTCAAATTCTACTCTCTGCTACATTGGAGAGCAGTGTTCATTGAGATAATTGAGGGCAGAATTTGGCTCTGTCTATGCAATGCCATCACTGGCATGAATAGCATGTAGGCCCTGATCTTGCACAGGTACTTAACTTTACATAGCCCAGTTGATTTGAGTGGGATTATGCATGTGCTATAACTTAAGCACCAGCATGAATTTTTGCAGGATCAAAAATTTCTAGGGATGTAAAATCCTGGTTAATCAGTTTACTGGTTAAACGTTAGTTTGACCTAATATTTAACAAGTTAACAAATTAAAGTGGGATCTGGGCTGGGGAGCCTCCAGCCTGCCGGGTTCCCACTTGGGTTCCCCACAGACAGAGGCTGCTCTGGAGGAGAGCAACCCCTGTCTGTGGCAGGTCTTCTGCAGGGCTGGGGCAGCTCCAGCCCTCCCCCCTGTCGGTAACGAGTTAACCTTTCACATCCCCCTAGGAAGGTCTGCAAATGAAGTACCAAAGACAGCTCGCAATGGTTTCCAAAGTATGCTTTAATGTTGAAAAGCATGTGGTTTAAGCAACCGTACCACTTTGCACATCACATATGGGCTGTAAGGATTTGGTGATGAATAAGCATTTGTAGTTTATTTCTGAGTCACAGTTGGCACATTTCCAAGTGACACGAGTAAACTAAGTTTTTCCTCTTTTAACCACAGCTACTCCCAAGCTGCCCAGAAAACCATCAGGTGGAACAGGTGAGGATCCTGATTCATTTATCATTCAAAAAAAGTAGTGGGGCTGTTTCTGTTGAAAACATTGATAGTGAGTCATGGGTTATTCTCTCACTGTGAAGAATCTGAAAATATGTAGTTGATTGCTAGGAAAGAATGTGACTTAGTTTCTCCATACCTCATACTGGTACTTGCACCCACCCACCCTAGGAATGAAAGCATTAATTTTCTCCTTGAAACAAGATAAGCAATGGAGTTAAGGTAGACAAGTCACCTAAAGCATGAATTTTAGTCAGAAACTAAAATTACTATGGGGTAATTAATGCAGCTCTGTAGACAGTTAAACATATATGCAGGAGAATTGCTCCCTGGGGAAATTGTATATACAGGTTGGACCACCCTGGTCTGGCGCCCTCGAGACCTGCGCTTTCCTGAACCAGGGGGTTTGCCAGACCAGGGGAGGTCAGTGCTCCCCTACTGGCTACTACTCTCCCTGGAGCTCCCTGCCCTGCTGCTAGTTCCTCTAACACTGGACCGGCACAGCTCCCCACTCAGCTGCCCATCTGTTGCCCTAGGGTCTCCTGGTTTTCCCAGTGGGCCCACTTGGCCGCTGCCAGCCCTGCTGCCGCCAGGGGTTCCCCAGCTGGGGTGTCTGGGGGCACCACCACTCTGCTGCTGGGGAGGCCCCCTGCCTCCTCTAGCCCCATTTCAACAAGGGAAGCTCCCTGGTAGAATCTGCCCAGTCACTCTGGTCCCATTGGGGTTTGCTGGGATTCCAGGCTGGGACCACCCAGCCGCAGGCAGCCCCACTGCAGTTCCCCAGCTGGGGCTGGGACTCCTCGGTCACCTGGTCCTACTCGGCTGGGCCCGGAGTGGGGGCTCTCCAAATACTTCCTGGGCCCACTAATGCCGGGAATTCACAGGGCAGGTGCTGCCTGGCCCAGCCCAGGCTCCCCAACCCCTGTGTTGCTCCCCCCTCCTCTGGGGCTGTTTGGTCCAGCAACATCTGTGGCCCTGCAGGACGGACTGGAGAGTCCCAGATTTGGGAGGTTCAGCCTGTACTGCTTTTGTCTTGGATCAAGAGGCCCAACAAGCAAGAATTGAGAGTGGTATGAAGTGGCCTGTCTGACTGAGAGCAGAGTTACTCTCATCCAAGGCTGGAGCTGTCAAGATCCAGTAACTGAAAGGGATAGACCCTCCTGAAAGAGTTTGAAGGACTTTGAAACCTAGCAGGAGTTCCGTGAGGAAGACGGGGACACCTGGGAAGGCCGGCGCACACACATGCTGTTTATGGTTTTCCAGATAGAGACAAAAGCATCCCAGAGAAAACCTGGTCACTGGCGAGCTGCATTGTACTTTCTGGGAAAGAACAGGGTGGCAGCTGCTAAGCTAAATTCTGACTTGCCAAGGTGCACACAGTGGGTATTAGGAGGAAATTGTAGTGTACAGCCTGTGTCTGGAGAGAGAGGAATGCCTGATCCCCGTCCAAGAGAGGTGATGGGCTAAAAGTTTGAGACATGAGTGGGGTACACATGGTGTTCCCTGTAATTTGAGAGCTTGTGTGGCCACCTAGAAGAGTCACATGCCACTTAGCTGATTAGCAGAGTGTCCACAGCTAGGTTTTGTGTTTCCACTGGTGGTGCACATTCACAAATACCACCTTGCACGTAATTCTCTCCGCCCCCCACCCCCACAAATGGATGGAAATAATTGCACACAAATGAAAAAGATTAGGGACATTGATTCGCAGTACAGTTCCTTTGGGATCTGTGACATATTTGATAGTGGAGGTGGGATCTAGGACAGTGGTGAATTAAGTGCCAGCAGCCCAGACAGCAAGTACTGTTGATGGAAAAAGCACAGAGTGTACAATAACCTATTTAGGGCAGGAATAGGGAGAGACAAACAAGAAAGGCTAGGTATGAACAGTTGAAGAATAGTTGTTACATGCAGAGAAGGACAACTAAACATGCAGGAGCTAACATAGTACTGTAGTACGTCAACTAGCAATGCCTCAGAGTACCAGAAAAGTAGTTATGACCCAGGACTCTGAGGAATATTCAGATCACTGGCAGAGTCCAGCCGGCTGCTTGAAGACGCCTCCCTAGACAGAATAAGGGAAGAGCACAATGGAGACAACTACCCATGTACAAGCAGAGAAGAAGAGATTGCAGTTGGAGAGAGACAAATTGGGCTTTGAAGTCCAGTAGTTTGTAGATAGCAAAAAGCCAGGAGAGCATGAAGAGAAACAGGGCTAGCCTGCACGAGAAGAGAAAGACAAGCAGCAGCAGAAAGAAAAAGTGGAGAAGAATGGGCCAGCAAACCCCTGATCCCATGTGTTTGATCCTGCGGGTGGCAGACTTTGAGGGTTGCATACGTCAATGGTATAGAATAAATTGCCTAGGGGGGTTGCGGAATCTCTATTCCAGGTTATGACTGGAGTTATTTAAGAGCAGGTGTCAGGGCTGTTCCTCACTCTGGCCCACTCCGAGTGCAGAAGATGGGGCCCCGCAAAGCTCAAAAGGGGGTGGAAAAACCCCACTGTTGCCTCTACAGACACTGGTCACAAAAAAGGTCCCTCCAGAATCACAGTACACAAATTTTGGCGACTCGCTGCCACCCTCAAGTGATTTTTATTCCTAAAAATCCCGGGGTGAACACTTGATCCCACCCTCAGGAGTACCCCAAGATCTTTTGTCCCAAAAGAGCTTGAAAAAAGAAAAGAGCAAAACAAGCTGCAGTCTCTGGTAGCTGACCTCTCAGTCTAGGCATGCAGATACAGACAGACAAACAGATTTTCCAGGACACGAGTCAAATCATCATCTTAAAAAAAGTGATTTTTATTACAAAACAAAAGATAAACCAGAGAAAGTGTACTTGCTTACTAGATGTTACAGAGCAACCAAGGGAAACACATTCTCTGGAAGCACAGTCTCTGGGCACAATGCTAGATGGTAAATGGAGAGGGGAGGCAGAGATTCACACAGAGTAGTTCGAACCAAACCACAAAATATAGAAAAAAATACCCTGAATGCGACTAGATTCACTTTCCCCTTTACTTATTTCCAGTCTTCTCTTTGTTCAGTCCATTTCCCTGCCCTGAATTTCTTAGAGGCATGGTAGTCCTGCCTGTATTTACATTATTCTGTGTCTCTCAACTCCTGTTTTTTCTCTCCCACACAAAGAGAGCAGGCAAGGAATCTTATACAATTCACTGTCAACACCGTATGCCCATTGGTTCTCTGGCTCCCTGCCAGTCCCTTTACTAGCTACCTGAGTTTAACCCTTTAGTCACCGGGTGCTGATCAGCACTCCTCCTATCCATTACAGCAAGTTAGACAGACACTTGTCAGGGATGATCTAGACAGTGCTTGGTCCTGCCGTGAGGGCAGGGGACTGGTCTTGATGACCTCCTGAGGTCCCTTCCAGTCCCAGGATTCTGTGATTCTATATCTGTACGGAACTTTTCATCCCCACAGTTTAAGCCAGAATCACCGGACCTGAGCTATGCCCCAGGTCTTTTACTGCAGTGGAGACGTATTCCACTGAGTACCTTAGTTCAGAGGAGAAGCGGACATGGACTTATTTTTAAATGCTCTTGAAATTGGGCATACGGAGTGTTGTGCAGAAGGAAGTTTGGGGAATTCAGAAAAAAGGGGATATGAACTACGCTGATACTGCAGCCCAAATTAGAATGTAACAAAAGAAAATGAGGAACTAGTTGGGAAATTAAAACAGCTGATGAAGCTCATGAGTTTGGAATAGTTCTGCTCCCCTGACTTAAAAGCACACTCGGTAGATTACAATCCTTGGGGAACATGTGTAGGTGAGAAACAGGCTGACCATGTGACTAGATGATAGAGGTTTCATTTAAAAAAATCCAACAGGGAAGGAAAAGGAATAGGGAAAAGGGATCAGGTTCAAGCAGCGACCCAACCCCAGCTGGGAGACTTCCTCCAGTGTGAGGGAGGTCACCTTAGAAGGAAGCCAAGGTTAATTGGGTCACCTCCTCCAGGGTTGCCCAGCCCACCCAGTGTGGTCCTAGAAAAGCCACCTGTCGCTAAAGCTTGCAGATAACTGTGTTAGAGAGGGCTTGTCTACATAGCTATGCAGTGTGGCTTGCAAGGGTATTAACTGCAGCCTTATGCTGTCACTGCCCAGCATAGACCATGCTAGCATGAAGGCAAGGTACAGAGTTGATGGTAACATAATCCTGTTCCAGACAAGCCCCAAAGCTCTGGAGGGAGCAAGTCTCACAGGGTACGTCTAGACTACATGCCTCCGCCGACAGAGGCATGTAAAATAGGCTACCCGACATAGTCAATGAAACAGGGATTTAAATATTCACGGCTTCATTCAAATAAAAATGGCCACTGCACTGTGCTGGCTCAGCTGATCGTCAGCTCAGCGCATGAGTCAAGACGCGGATCGGTTGACAGGTAGCTCCCTTATGCCTCGTGAAATGTAGTTTACCAGAGCGGTCGACAAAGGTGTTCCTTGTCAACCGAACAGCGTCTTGACTCATGGGCTGTGCCAGCGATCAGCTGAGCCGGCACAGCGTGGCGGTCATTTTTATTTGAATGAAGCTGGGGATATTTAAATCCCCGCTTCATTGACTATGTCGGGTAGCCTATTTTACATGCCTCCGTCGGCAGAGGCATGTAATCTAGACGTACCCACAGAGTCCCATTCTTCTGGGCATAGATTCATTGGGTTCCCAGTGGAGTCATAGTCAATGAAGAGACACTGATGGGATGGAGAGATTATGCAACAGACAGCACGGTGATTAAACAGGCTGAAGGGGTGACCCAGGGGCTTGGCCCTGCCTCATGTGAAGCCATTTGCACTGCCTGGAGCCCAGGTTTCAGCACAGGGGCAGAAGGGCTCTTGGTTTGGATCCTGAATGAATCACCTTTCAGCATGCTCCTTGGAAATTGGGTTATGACATTAGAATCCATCCAGCAGGACAGGACTATGTTACCATACATTTGCATGCTGGCTGGTTGCGTCATACACATGCTTGCTCTGTGTCTGAAGCAATCATCCAGAATGCAAATGGAGTAGCCAACAGCGAGAAGGGCGGGCAGGGGTCGGGGTCGGTTACCGCCAAGGCACCACCAGGGCAGCCAACCCTTTGAGGAACAAAGGGCTGCCATCCTGAGTCCATAGATGCCAGATAAGAGGTGGGCAGTGGCACTGGAACTATTTGCAGGGTGGGGGTGCTGAGCTGCATCTCTCTCTCTCGAACACACACACTGTTCGCACCCTCACCGCCCCAGGCTGGGGTCACACATAAGGTTGCTAATTTTCCTGGACTGGATGTCATTGCCAAACTGGCAGAGTTGGCAACCTAGCCACACTAGAGGAAGCTACAGAGCCCCCAGCCGGCAGCAGGACCCTGAATGGCAGCAGAGCCTACAGGGCCAATGGCCTGGACCCCTGGGAACAGTGAGCTGCAGATCCTGTGGGGCTGGCGGGCTGTGGGACCTTGGGGGTGTCAGGGCTGGTGGGACCATGGAGGGGCTGCCTGGAGTCCAAGGACTAATGGGTTGGCAGAGGGGGCAGCCCCTGGGTGCAGGGGAGCCGGGTGCAAAACCTGGGTTGCTGCAGCACCTCCTGCATCCCTACATCCTCTGCCTATGGAGGTGAGAGTGGAAGTTTACCTCCAAAAGCTTTGGGATGACTGGTAAGCAGGGGCAGATGAAAGCCCTCCCTGGAAATGCGCCTACTAGATTCTAAAGGGGAAAAATAGAAGGGTTGTATGTCAAATGGCTCTGCCCTGCTTGATGACTGATCTGTCAGGCGTATGAGTAAAGCCAATGCCAATTCTTTGTAGGCTATGGGGATAGTTCGGACGATTTCAGCTTGGCAGATGCCCTGGACGACTTTCCCACCAAGCGACGTAAGTAACGATTTTACAGGAGACGCGTGGTGAGAAGGTGACTTGACAAAATATCAGTTACCATGAATCTTCTTTTTGTCCAGGACTTGTGTGTCCAAGATTTAATAAACTCAGCTGCAGTGCCCGTCCCACAAGGCTGGACCCACTTCCCACTCTAGGCACCATGACTTGGCACATGGGGTCACACTCAGGAGTGGCCCAGCTGCCCTTCGGTCGTTAGGCTGGAGGGCGGCCAGGCCACATTTGAGTGTTGCTGAGAGCCCCTATCTCACTTGGGTATGGCCTGGCACCTCCCCTTCCCTTCACATGCCATGATGGTGATCAAGCCAGACCTGAGTGGCACCACAACCTCACAAAGATTCAGGTCCAGAGCTGTGGGATAGGAGCTGCCTCCTCAGGGTAAGTGCAGGGTGGGCTCTCTGTGCAACCTGCTCTTGGGGGCAGGACCCGGTTTCCTACTTCTGTCTTCTAAGACCTCCCATACCCGGGAGCAGGACCAAACATCCCCACCCTGCATGCCTGCTCTACTTTAAATGGTGCTGCCATGACTTTACCCACCACTTTGCCCGTGACCTTTCCTAAATTTACTGTGGCTGCTCCTTGATAAAAAATGCCCTGGCAACCTGTGTCCCTACACATGGCACACCACTGGAAAAATCACCAGCTTAATGGTGTTCCAAGATCCAGAGACACAGGCAGGAATTATAGGAAAAAGGCAGCCACAACTGATGCTCATATTTTATTCATATTCTTCGTAATGCAGCCCATTATTCACAGACATCAGTTGTGCGGAGTATTTAAAACAAAATACACTTGGGACACTTACAATACTGACAGAGCCAGGAGTTGCAAATTTTGCTGTTGATCAGCAATCAATGATAAATCCTTCCCGTAGAACTTCACCCACTGTGGCTGTGTCTACACTGGCATCCCTTCTGGAAAAGGGATGCTAATGTAGCACTTTGGAATAGGCAAATCCGCGGGGGATATTTAAATATCCCCCGTGGTATTTGCATTAACATGGCTGCCGCTTTTTTCCGGCTTGGAGATAAGCAGGAGAAAAGCGCCAGTCTAGACGTGATTCTCCGGAAAATAAAGCCTTTTCCGGAGGATCTCTTATTCCTACTTGAAAGGCTTTATTTTCCGGAGAATCACGTCTAGACTGGCGCCATGTTAATGCAAATACCGCGGGGGATATTTAAATCCCCCACGGATTTGCCTATTCCAAAGTGCTACATTAGCATCCCTTTTCCGGAAGGGATGCCAGTGTAGACACAGCCACTGTTAGCTGGGAGTGGGTGGGGTGCTATCAATCTTTTATTGTCACTGATATGGGAGACCAAGCCGGTGGGAATAAAACTTGATGGCACCTCCACCATGTCCACAGATATGATATTTGCTTCATGCCACAGACAAGTCCTGTTGTGTTAGCAGTTGGTTTGTTGAATCTCTAAGAACATTGTCAGGGGGTCAGATTCTGCTCTCTGCTACACTGAACAGCAGTGTGCATTAGGACACTTGAGGGCAGAATTTGGCTCTGTGTATGCAATGCCATCATTGGTGTGAGTAGTATGCAAGGCCTGATCTTGCACGGGTGCTTAACTTTACAGAGACCCATTGATTTGAGTGAGATTATGCATGTACTTAAATTTAAGAATCTGCATTTTTTTGCAGGATCAGGGCATCAGTGAGGTCTGCAAATGAAGTATCAATGGTTTTCAATGTATGCCATGATTTATTTAATGTAAAATAAAAGCATGAACAGCATGTGGTTTAAGCACTATGGAACCTTACACATCACATATGGAGGGGAGGGTGTTGAATAAAACACTCATAGTTAATATCTAAAACACAGTTGACACATTTCCAAGTGATACTAGTAACTACGTTTTTTCTTTGCTTTTGATCACAGCTACCCCCAAGCTGCCCAGAAAGCCATCCAGCGGAACAGGTAAGGTGTCCTTATTCATTCATCATTCAAACAATATACTGGGCTGTGCTTCTTGAAGACCTTCATGTTGAGCAAGGGGTTAGTCCCCATGCTATGGAGAACTGTGAAATGTCAGATTTATTTTTTATGAAAGAGTG